ACTTTACGAGTGAGCTTATGTTGTCGAAAATGTGGGCACGCGGCGTCTTTACAGTATACTTGCACTGACCGGCAGTTACGCTTGATTGAGAGCGGAGTGAATTTACGAATGAGCTTCGCCTCATGGCGCGTTGCGCTTAAATGTGCATGCGGCGTCTTCAGCGCCGGCAACAGTGTCGATGCGCGTCCCTTCCAGAAATTTTCCTTTGGCGTGAGAAAACGAAGCTTCTAGAAGTTTCGAAGGCGTCCCTTTTTTGTGAGTGCTGGCAGTAAATAATATTTCAAATCGTAAACTTGCTCGGACTTGCCGAGTTTTGTTTGTAAACATTTTCTCGAGTGCCCGCCTCGGTCCGCACGTGCGGATCAGCCTAGGCGCACGTGGTGGCCAGCCTTGCTGCACGCGCGGTCAGTCTAGGCGCACATGCGGTACGCCGGGCTGCGTAAATGACCTTTCTTTTGTTTGAAATTCATGGGACTGCTTCAATCCCGAACAAGTACCTTTATTTGTTGTATAAAGGTATTTATTTTATATGTTGTAGATTCCCTTTTACGATTTACAGTTTTTTTTGGCTTAATAACTTTGTTAAAGCAAGTGTCATTTTTTTCAGCTACATTTTTAATCTTATTCTTATAAAATAACTTATTACTATAAAAGCTCGATTTAAATTGTCGTACACCTACTTATAAATGATATTGAATAAATTTTTAATTTGTTACAAATTTGTTGAGTAACTAGAAATTAAAAATCAGAATAATTTTAATTTTTGCCAAATAACCGTTTCATTTTCAGACAATGTCAGTCTCTGTTACTTAATAATATAATATAAAAATATATTAACATATATAATCAGTCTTCAGAATTAAAATCATGTAGATTGAACAGCATTTGTGAAACGGTTAATGACAGATTTTTTGTTTAAATCTTTTGTTTATATGTAAAGTAGAATAGTTTTGTAACTTTACTTAGATTTTTATTAATCAACAATCCAAAATATTTTTTGGATCTATGTATTGAAATACGATACTTATTTTATTTTATCTATTACAAAAGTTTAATGTAAATATAGTCATGGGAATTCAGGTTGATGACAGGTGTTATTCTAATTTAAGATCATCGCAAATATTCGAAATTCTGTATGATTTTCAATTTATTACATTATCTTAATTTATATTTGTTAGATATCTGTGATCAATTATACATTGATGTACATTGAAATAGAATTTCTAATTTTGATAGCTTTAAAGTTTGATAATTTGTTTCATTTCATTTGCAGACATTAGTTTAAGATATCTAATAGTAAATTTTTAATTAATGTATATTACTTTATATATGTTATTATATTATATAATACTTAGTAATACTAATTAATAATTACTCTGTTGATATTTTCACGATGTCATGGTACGAGATAGTATTACGCTCGTATCACTAATAAATTTCAAAAACAATAGTCATGCATTTTTAAGTTCATATCGTTTAAAGTCAGATTATATAAATTATATACAATTATAAAAAGGTACCTAACTCATTTCCATGGTATTATTTTATTATACAAAAACTACATTTCCTCTATTACAGGATTTATGTGATAGAAAAATTTATATATTTTTTGGACTATAGAATTGTGTATATTAATTTTAAACTATTTAACTCTAATCCAACTAACTAATCAAATCGAAAATTTCTATCGTATATGATTTTTAATTATTCATTCGATTATTTTATGTTTCAGTTTTCCAGGGAAACGAGGCAAGCAACATTTTGATTGATAACTATTAATATAATGTTTCAGAATAGCATTAATTAAACAGTTGAAAGGAAATTTAGCAAACGGAAATGTGGATGCAAACGTAAATTGTCAAGCAATGGAAAAATAAGTTTTGTTTGTCTCGTTTATTTAATTTATTAAAGCATATGATACGAGTACGATCAAGCCGATTGATATTCAAAAGTTTATTTGCAGTAAGGTATCTCAGAGCAGTGCACAAAGAATTATCCATTTACATATGAATATGACGGGAAGACTAAAATTAGGGTTATAAGTGCATACGTTAAATATACAAAATTAAGTAACATTAATTTTATATATTTGAAAAAAAATTTTTTGAAAATATTTTGTACGTTAATTTCATAACTATATTTAATTAATCTGATGCTATATTTATATTTATATTTTTTAGTGTTTACTTAACATGTTGCCAATATTAAAAAAATTAATAAACAGTGATTAAAAACTGATAATTATTTAATTATACAATTTCTAACATAAAATATGCAATTAAACTGAAAAACATATTTTATTTAAAACGATTATCATGAAAAATTTACATTTGCAATTATTAATACATAATAATTTATACATATATATGTTAAAGAAATTTTTTATGTAATCAATACATTAAAATTATGATTAAGAAAATTACTGATGCTTATATTTATATGCATTTAGAAAAAATTAACTTTTAACTGTAAGATAGACTACTATTTTTTATAGTAATTGAATATATATTCAATATATCAATATATTTTACTAAACTTGAATAAAACATCTATTAAAAAGATTTTTTAATTATCTATAAAGACAATATGCTAAATCTGATTTATTATTTTTGTTTTGTACTTCTTTATATACATTTTACTTTCATGTATTAATTAATTTATCATATAAAATAGATTCATTTCAATTTAAAATATTTTATTAGACAATGAAACAAAATTTTTGCTAATTTATATTAAATTATAAAAATTAGATTTTATAATAGAAGATTTTAGTTCTTTGAAAGATTTTTCAAATGTACATTTACAATTAATATGTATGCATTAAAAATACTTCAAATATATATATGTATTCAATGATTAATTATTAATAGTACTTATCATCAAAGTAAATGTTCTTATGATCTGTAATTATTTATACTTTACAAAACCTCGAAATTTATTAATTATAACTACACACCAAGACTTTAGTTTAAATGTATTAATTTTAAATATAATTCAAATATTTATTATTTATTTATTTATTGTGTAATTTAATATATATTGAAACATACGACGGCAGATTTATTTACATTCTTTAAATAAAATCTGTGAATCATAACGTCATCCTTTTTTTTCACTAATTTATTTATATTATATTTGTATAACTTGTTATTTTATATATATAATTGCATTTATAATTTTTCAATGTTTTCACAAAAAAAATGTATAATAGCAAAACAAAAAATTATATATAAAAATATATTAAATATTTTTAAATTTTTACATAGTCTATAGAGCTATTATTAAGTTATTATTAATATCACTAATATTTCTGTAATAAACATATTTATTAAAATTAAACGTTGTATTGTAAATATTCAAAGAACAAAAATGTTAATTTTATTATTCTCAAATTGAATTTAATATTAATATGGTAATATTTATTAAAGGGATATATAATTTTTTTATATAGTTTACAATTCTTTTCAAATATTCATAACATCAATGTTGCAATAAGTTATTAAATTATACAAATATCAGCTATTAAACTAATTTTTTTATTAAATTATATAATATAAACTCAGATTGTATAAATAAAAAATTACCGACATTATATTTGCATAACTCAAAATTTTATTCATAAAATATATAAATTAAATAAGTGTTTTTAATGACTTATTGCAGTTCGTTTCATTCAATTTTTAATAAACTAAATATCAAATATAATATTTTAATAATTTCTAAAAAGTTATCTTCTATCTTTTAAAGTGTTGATGTAGTCATTGAGGCATCTATTATATTATTCATACTGTAAATAAGAAGCACTTGGTAAAACAGATGTTTCCTTTAACTCTGTGTAACACTGCAGTAATTCTAAACTTGGATTCCAACTATTATTTTGTAGGTATAGTTACAGCAATAGATACATTTTTTCAGTAATATAACAGGTTGAATTGCTTTTATTTGAATAATTTATATTTGATCCTGGTGGTCCCATTTTATATTTTAACTTTTTAAAATTAATTATAGTCACAATAAAATACATTTACATATAGTATATTAATATATATACATGCATTTTTATTCCTAATGTATTTTCATTAAAAACATTTATTATTTAATATATTTCTATACATATTTATTAGGACCAAACAAATTAAAAATAATATGATTTTTATAGATTATATTAAATTAAATCATATAAGTAAAATTTCAGGAAGATGAATTTTAAAATGTATTTGTATAACAAATGTTATATAATTAATATATTAATGACGTGTATTGCTTCACCAAATTGTACATAGAACACACATTTTTTACATTGCACAGCATAAGTAAAGTATATGTTGTTTTATCCGCATAGCCAATAGAACCTAATCATAAATAAACGCAATATATGTTTTAACAGGCATTGCCAACTATATCAAATTTAAAATTATTTAGTATTTAAGTTTTATTTATATATTTAGTAATTGTATTATAATATATATATATTCATATATGTATAGATATCTTATACTAAATAGATTAAATATTTATTTAATTTACTAAAAAAATAGATTTAAATTTATTTACTAATTATATACATATTTAAAAATACCAATATTACCCATATGTTTAATTGAAAAAGCTATCTAAAAATGCACATTTTTTAATATTTTATTTGTGTGTTACATATTTGCCAACATAGTCTTTAAAAAGATTATTATTCATATAATGTTTATATTGTTTGTACATATTTCGAAATATTAATGTAATTTTTTATATTAACATTTTTACAAATTTTAATTCAAATTTCTATTAAATTAAATGTATCAAACAAAACTATTTAGTACATGATGTCTAAAGACTTATTACTGTAAATGCATATACAATTTGAATTTCGTGGTAAGTTCATTATCAATAGTTGAAAATATTAGATCTTATTTCGTATACGATCAAAAAATGAATCTCGAAGGGACTGAATATAAAAGCTTTTTAATATGTAAATCTTACTAATACTAATAATATAAAAAATAAAATTATATTAGATACACATCTAAAATTTTCAATTGGAAATTACTATAATTGAGTTTTGATCATTATTTTCAATAAAATTGAGTTTGAGTATTGCTTTAATCTTAAAAATTCCTGATAGTTTAAACAATTTTTAGAATTTTTGTAATTTATAAATGACATTTTTTAATTATATAAAATATCATTTTTACAAAATAGTTATGTAGATTTATTAAAAATTTTGAACTAAAATATGTATTTTTTAAAATATGTATTTTGCGACCCTTCAGATAGTGCGTTCAATGGCTGTACTAGTATTGGAAAGGTTCGCGACTGATTTTTTGACTCGGTTTAGCTGAATGATTCTTGGCTGACTGGCTCATAACTGAGTAGCACTTATGGCATGTTGCACTTGCCTTAAATATCTACGCGACTGCTTTGTTAGCTAAAAACAAAGGGCCGATCATAGCTAGAACAATGTGTTCGACTATGGTGCGAGAAACAATGGGGATGATTATGCACACTTTCGGATATACCGGCTTTTCCGAATCTCCAACGACTGTTGGAAAATTTTCTTAAAGTTATAATCGTTGAATAATTTCCTTGAAATGATAACCGTTGAAGCTTTTCTATTATTTATAGGGATTAAATTTTTTAAAAATTATTACGACATATAAATTCATATTTTATGTTTGATGAAATGCCATACTCCATTTCTAAATTGCAACATCCTCTTAAAGTAAACAAAAAGTGGATAATAGTACATAGATAAATCCAATAATAATAATAAAGCATCATAACACATAATGTGTAAGAGCGCGTAAGCCCTGCAATATAGTCACTTTAAAACTATAATATTTATATTTAAACTATTAATAAAATGCTGCTGTATCATTATTTTATTATTGCAAATTTGCATTAACTTCTAACTACTGAGTATACCTAAAGTTTATTTTTTCTCTTAAAATAATAAATATTCTGTCAGTTAATCTGTAAATAAAAAATTTCTAATTTCTTAAATATTATTTAATCTGCGACGTCGTTTTTCATAAAATTTAGTTTTGCAGCTCATTTTAAAAATTTTATATTAGAACTTGGAAATTTAAAAACGTCAATTATGTTGATAACCGATGATAATTGAAGATAATTCTATAAACTACTTAGAAAAGAAAAATTTTATATTAAAATAGAAATTATATTTCAATCCTGTATTTGAATGCGTTGTACTTAAGAATATACCATTTATATATTATTCCCTATGTCTGTGATCAGACTAAAAACCTCCCTTTGATGGTGGGTGGAGGTGTTGCTGGCAAGTGGAAGGGGCATTGCAATTATTCAATAATACATGCGGTGTTTCTTGTCTTTCCTTTATAAAATATTATAATATAATAAATAGTTATTGATCGTAAAGTGTATGAATGACGGTGTGAGCGAATAATTTGGGGAAGTTTCTTCAATTGTTTTACGTGCTGAGGAAATTGTGTATACTCTTCCGGACGTGAGGAGTAACTCCCTCCCTTCCGAGAAGTGCTGCTGTAATAGTATGCGTGAGAGCCGCCGCTGTAGTACCGAAGCTGCCTAAGTGAGACTGGGTCCCTGCTGCTTTAGTGTCGGTGCGTAAGAGCTGCCGCTGTCTTACCGAAGCTTTCTAAAGGGGGACCGGTTTGCTGCTGCCTTAGTCGTCGGTGTGATCCGTTAATATGTATAGTGTGATTTCGATTATTAAGCGCGTTATTAGTTTAAGTTTAGTTAACGGATCTTGATAATGTGGTGTCACTATTTATTTGTTAGATTGCTTACTGTTTGAGTATTACATACATGTATAGCTACAGTAAGTGATAACTGTAGAGAGAAGCTTGAAGATTGAATAGTGAGTTTGTGTTGACTGCGTAATTGTTACTATACTAATCTGAGTCAAAGACTAAGCGCTGCGCGGCAAGTACAGTCCTTAAATATTCTCGTGGTAGTTTTAGGCGTTGGTAGCGATCTGATGTCTGATACTATACCGATATATGTCGTGACGTCAATAGGGCATAGCCTTGGAAGGTTCATTGTCATTACTTTTCGGAATTATAGTCGTATATTCGAATTTTCGGCGTAGAAACATTTCTCGAGTTCGTTGGCTCGTGTTTATAAACAACTATCTGGGAGCTCATACCTCCCCCATTTTTTAATTCAACTGTTTCAATCCGTAACACCCTAAATTTACCTCTTTTGTATATCTTTGGTAATCAAAATTGAAAGATGAGCACTTTGAAATATATTAGTATAAATTTATGTTGTAATTACAATAAGGAAAATGCATATAATATGGATAATGTGAGAACAAAATATCGTATTCCAAATTCTCTTATTGGAATAATTCAAATCTGAGGAGAAATCAATGAAGATATTAATAGAATTTATATATAGATATCGATTATTTACTTGAGATTTAAATTTTTAAATTAAAGTTTTTCTATACAGACTGAATCCTTGTATAATGTTGTTTATAATTTAGAAATATATCCTTGTGTATGATATATATTATCATAAAACTTGTCTTGGTAATATAAGCAAGAATAATTTAATTCTTTTCAAAATTCAAAATACAGCGTTTTCATGAATTCGTCTTTCTTTGTTGTATTTGTAAAAATTTAAAAATTTCTAAATATATATTTGTATTATTGATCATAGTATATTATTGTGTATTCAAATAACATTTAATATATTATAGTATTCATGGAATAAGAAATAGTGTATTGTAGGGGCATAAATTTATAACAATGATAATAAATTTAATAATTATTTTTTAAGATTTTAAAATAAGTTTGAAATTAACTTTTGTTCAAACCTTTTCTCAAAAATGTAATTTGTATGTGAATATTTATAAGTAGATGTAGATCGTTAAAAGAATAATCTAGATAAAGTACGTAAATTAAGAATTGGATAACCAAAGAAAAAATTTTGATAATTACAATGACAGTTTTTTATATTTATAAAACTATAAAATATATTTTCAAATATAAAAAAATTCCTTCATAGCATGTAGTCATCATAAAAAATGAAATGTAATTTCTTATTTAAAAAAGTTATCTATAATTTAAGACCTATAATTTAATATAATTTTTACATTATTTTCTTTATTAATAGTAATTACAATTATCATTCGATACCAATGTGAAATATTAATAATTTCTGTTTTTAACTAATTACATAGGGAGAATTACAGCTTGGAGCTCTACTTGATCTGTAACTTTCAGGTGACCAAAGACTGTAATTACTTCTGCATGTGCTACTTGTCGATGATAATGGCGAAGGCGTAGGACGATGATATGGAATTGGCCTCTTTCTCGCACTAAAATAATGATTTGTAATAAATAAATAATCTTATAATTTCAAATTTATGATTTAGAATTTAAATATCAATTAAAACTATTATATAACTAAAATGTTACAAAATTAATTATATTTACACGTATAATTAAATATGAGACTGAATCCTCAACATTAAAAAAAAAAATTGTTTAAATGTATATTATGAATACTATTTATTACGATAAATATTATTCACAAATAAACTGCATATGCAATTGAAAATATGTATTATTTTTTTAAATTGGTAAGATAATTTTATAGATATTAAATATTTTATATAGAAAATTATATAGATATTAAAAAATATCTAAAAAGCATCTAAAATTAGTTAACGTTATATAATATTTGATAAATATCGAATACAATTGAAATTTTTATACAATATTAATTATTAGATACGATTATTCAGTGTATATAATTCAATAATATTAAAATAGTATATTAACGTAATACCTTATTTTAATATTTGTAATATAATTATATGTATAAAATATAAGAAATTATTATTGTAATGTAGCATTTATTGTTAGAATGTTTAATAACTTATATAATTGCTTAAAGTATCACAAATTAAAAACTTACGTAAATGATTAAATTGAAATTGCATGCATTTAGCTATAATTAGATATAATTTGTCATTCTTATAAATTTTATATACCGATTTCAAACATCTTTAATAAGTGATTTGTTAACATAAAATCTAAATTTAATGTTGAACGAAACTAATATTTATAAGACATAGACTCTATTTGTTCATAACAGCCATTTTGATGACATCAAGAGATTATATTCAACCAGAGAAGAGGTTATTTTAAAGATGGAAAAAGTTCGTTCTAAATTACTGTAATAACATTTATTCTCAGATGTTTCTTTGGCTATATCTAATTGGCGTATTACTAAAAATTTGCCGTGTCAATAATATACATATTTGGAAATGTTCGAATGCAGTAATCAACCACGTATCTCTGATTTTCCAAAACAATAATATTGTGAAATTATTTTTTACCATTCACAATATTCAAGAAAATTGAGAAGTACTGGAACAACTGTATGATATAATATATAAATATAAATAATTAGTATATAAATATAAACAGTAAGGCTAACTTGTATATAAAATTAAGAAACAATAAAAGCATGTTCAATTTGCTATTCAATCGACTTCTAATCTTAATAGTAAAGAATATATATAATATACTCCATGTTTTGGTTCTCCATAATTCTGTTTAGAAGTGAATGGAAGTTTATATAGAGTTTCCAACTTTATACCCAATAAATATTAAATTAGCGTAAAATTATAAAAAGTGGAACAATAGTCTAGAAAATAATCTCATGAAAAAAACATATTTTTTTCTTGAAACCATATTTTAAACTTTTTATCTTGTCAATTTGAAGTTTGTGTATATTTAGTTTTTAACCTCAAACTTGTCTCCAGTTTATCATCAACTTAGAGTCCATTATAAAATGCGCTTATTCAATTTAATATGATTTTACAATTTGATTTGATGTTTGAAAATTACTATACTTAAATCTTTGTAATACATTTATTTATTGATAATTGCCGTAAGGTTAATTTTTTTTAAATAGGGAAATAATGAAAATTTCAGTTGTCAATAAATAATTCTAAATTATGAATGTTTTTATTGTTAATATCAATTAGTTAATAAAAAGATGACACCTTCTCTTGTAATGATAAATGAAAAAGTTCTGTCATATATGCGCTTAGTTTAAAAATTTTTTCATATTATTGGCATAAATGTGATCAAGATGATAAGATTATTTTTCCTTCATTTCGTTTAAACAATACAAAAAATTCTAGAGCTTAATTGAATTGCTATATTTAAGTCGTGAAAAATAAATTAACAAACTTTCCTTTAAAATTTTGAAAATGATCAGTTTATATTAAAGCATTAAAGATTAGTTTTATTTAGTTGAATCTATTTTATTTTAAATCACGTTCTAATTAGATTTGTCTTGATAACTTTTCTGTTATGCAGCTTTTTAATCTTCAAAATTCATCAATTTTATTATTTATTTCTGTTGCTATTTTTTCGAGTAATAATAATTGTATTTATCACTTGAGACTGAAACGAATAATTTTCTATTTGTTTCAATTATAACACACAATATACAAAAATTTGTCTCTCAATATTTAAATTCTCATAGTTACAAATTTCACGTTTTGTATTTCATTAAAAATTTATTTTAAATGAATAAATAATTCAGTAGACTTAAAAAAAAATTTGTATTGAAAACTATATTAACAACTTCAGTTAATTATTTTTAATTACAGAATAATAATACTACTAAAAACTTATCTAGATAGTTAAATATATAAATATAATATAGTCATAAAAATGATACTATTTTACTTGAATTGCAACAATCATATTTCAAAAATTATTTTAATTACTTTATACTTTTTTTATTCGCTTTAAAATTATGTAACTTAGAGCATTCTAATTTTTACAAAATTATTAAGATGTAATTAAATTTTAATAAAATAAAAAAACTCACCTTGTAATTCGGCGTCTATCTAAAAAACTGGGTGAACCATGTCGACGTGGTATAGAAGTAGAACGGGACCTACTTGAATTAGTTGAAGCTGGACTTGAAATTCTCCTAGATAATGTTGTAGATTGAGAAGAACATGAATAAGTGTTACAGCTACGGCGTGTAGAGCTAAAATTAATGAAAAAACGTAATGTAGGTATATATGTTATTTGCTTTTTTCAATTATATAAAATTATTTATAACTAATACTTAATCTAGGTACGCCGACGATTTTATTTTATAATCTCTTACAAAATTGATATAAATACATGATAGCTATTATAATATTTTATATAAAAAATAAATCTTTGATTTTTATAAACGTTTATTTTTAACAAATATGTTATTTAAATTTGGTAATTTAATATTGATTTTTAAATTATATGTGTTTAAAGGTATTGCATAAAATTTATTTTTGAATTATCTTATATCACACTTACTAATAAAAATATTATTTAAACAATTTCAATTGTACTAGTAAGTACAATTGTATTTAATATAAAATTATATTAAAGTGTAAATATATGAAAATATTTAATAGTATTTACAATATTAAATATTGTAATAAGAAAATCAAAAAATATTTTTTTAAACCTTTATACCAAAGTGCAATTTTTCGTATAGAAAATCGAATCCATTTTTCTTTTTCAACTTCTTTTTAGAGAATATTAATAGGAAGTTACTTTTTATCAAGTATTCTTAAACATATTTAATTTATATTATTTATATTGAATTTATAATTTTTTTCTCAATAAAGCTAAATAATCAATTTTATTGAACAATTTACAAAATTGTTGGTAATAGATAATTATGATTAATTGTTCATATATAAAATATAAGATTATACTAAAAAAAATATATAAATACAATAGCTGGTAGAGATTTTTGACTAACCAAAAAAATTAATTAAACTCAAAACAGAAACTTTCGTTCTATTCTCATTATCAAACTTAACGGAAATTAATCTAAAATATATATATTTCTTTGATATTCTTATAAAATATATTAAAATTAATCTATTACCGTACATTCATTTTTTATATATACATTTATTCATTTTCATTTTATATATATCTTTTATTTTTTAAATTTCTAATGGTAATAGTTATGAGGTGTATATATATAATAATTTTAGAAAAAATAAAAGAAGACAGATAATAAATTAATTTTTCAATATATATACAAACTAGTCTACTAAAGATACACAACTAGTAATATTCAGAAAGAATAATACCTATTTTCAGTAACAGTATTATTAATATATAAATAAAGTACTGGATCTAATTATGATATGATCTCCCGTGTAAAAAAATTACAAAGTACAATAAATTACTAATATATAACGCGCATAAATGATATAAATTCAAAATATATATTGCGTTCGTGTATTAGTAAGCAAAAAATTGGATTTCAGAGGTCATGTATCATTGTAAACATGGAAGTTCATCAATAAGAGAAGCATTCCTAGCTTAAAACTGTAGGTGGTACTGCAATTTTTTTAAACATTTCTAATCACTGGAATGTTGCATGCAATACTGTCGGTAAGTGTCGACAAAATGTTAATTTGCAAATTGACTTTATAAAGAATATATAAATTCCTCTTTGTGTTATTGAAAATAACATTTATAACTATAACTATATACCATAAATAACACTAACAATAATATAATTCTTTATTATAAACAAAAATACAGTGTGTACAAGTGTTTCAGTATATGTAACCCTACAGTAGGGTTTGCAGGTTATTTACTATATCTGCGTCCTTTTTATATAACCATTTTTCAAAACATTTCTCTGTTTTATTAAGTAGTTTTGTAATTTCATAAAAAATAACTTTTATACTGTATATTTACGTCATTAAATTAAAATAAATGATAATAAATTACACACATTTTTTTATTTATAGATCAAACACCGTATTTAATATATATTTTTCATTTAACATGTACTACATACATTACATGTTTTAATATAATAAAAACATTTCTATTTAGAGAAACATTATCATTTATAAAGAACATTTATGAAGTAATAATAAATATGATTTCAACAAGTTTGTAATTACAAATTTAAATCATACCTTGTAACTGTTTGAGTACTACTTTTACTACTACTTCGTTTTCGTACCCCTCCTGAATTTCTTGATACAGAACGAGAGATACTTCTTGATTTTTTTGAGAAAGAAATACTTCTACTTCTAGTTTTATAATTACTATTTAAGTTTTGAATGTAGCGACTTAAACGTGGCGTTTGAGATCTTGATAATTCAGACTCAGAGGAAGATTTTACCAGAGAAGATTGAATAGGGCTAATTAATTCTTTTTCGTTCGGTTTAGAATATTTAATATCTTCTTTTACAACTAAATTAGAGGCATTATTTTGCAACAAAAAAATTTTTGGCCATGAATTGGTGTCAGGACAATTTTTTAACGGAGTTAAAGATTGTGAAAATGATGTAGATTGCGAGCTAGAAGATAATTGAAAGAAGGAAAATGTTTCTTTTAAATTTATATCGTTCTTCTTTGAAAATTTCATATCTTTAGATTTGTCAGATAAGAATGAATTTGATAATTCTTTAGAAGAAATAATATCTGAATTCGCCACATTTAACGAATCATTATCAATATTAAAATATTGTGAAAACATATTTGCAGTTTTAAAATCATCACACAAGTTGATATCATATTTGGATGAGTTTTCCGATAAATTAATTTTACTTACTAATGATAATTGACGTAATTTTGTTTTACCCACATTATTTTTAAATATTTCTTCATCTCCCATTAATGGAAGAGTGGGAGACGGTGTTGTACTTTTTATATTTGGTTGAACATTGATATTCGATATAAATGCTGATGAAGTTAATTTTTCATTAAATAAATTATTTTTACTACATAAAACTTTACTTTCCTGAATAATTGATTTTACAGGACTAATACATAATTTTCTAAAATTTTTACTTTTTTTTGTAGATATACCATTATGAAAACATTCTAATGTATTTAGTTTCATTTGACTTTTAATATTCTTTTTTTTTAGCTCATTTTTTAACATACAATATTCATCATCACTGGAAGATTGTAATTTGATGTGAGGAGTATGTATATAAATTGGTTTTTTTTTAAAAATATATCTTAATTTACGTCTACTGATCACATCTTTACGAAGAATTTTTTTTACTTCATGTAATATATTTGTGTAACGGTCATCATGTTTTAGTAATAACGAATAACTTAACATTAATCGTCTTGATTGAAACTTCGATTTATTATTAAAATTCTGAGGCGTTTTTGAGTATCTGTTTCTGTTTATCTTCATTTCTGGAGACATACTGTTTCTGTGAGAATAAGATATTTTAAATGTATTATCAGAAGATATAGATTCTTTGTAATTACAAGAAACTATTTTTTTTTTTAAATTACTTTTTTCGTATGACGTGGATCTTCTATTTAATGCCTTGGACTTGCCTTTACAATAATATATATTAAATTTTGATTTTGAAATACTTCTGCTTCTGCTTTTTGTTACATTTCTTTCCTTAAATATATGTGGTTCTAATTTAGAATCTAGAAAATTGTTTGCCATTTCTATTGTATTACAATTGTTGAATGATGATAATTTATTTGCAGACTCTGATGAATTAGTTTTTTTTCTAATATTTATTCTTAATGGAGTTTTAATTCTTTTCATTGACGAATGATTTTTTAATACATATTCAACTTCTGTAGATATATTTTTCTTATCTGAATATTTATTAATATTAATATTTACCTCTTTTATTTTTGTTGGAGAGCTAAAAGTATAAAAATATAATTATGATTTTTTCTTACAAATTTTCTGTGTAAAATTATATATAAATATTATATATTTTTTATTACAAAAATAAAATATTAAATAAAAGAAGCTTTCATTTAATTATATGTGGATATTATGTATTGTTTAAATTGTTATATTGCATTGAGAGAAGATCTTGCAATCTCGAACACACAAATAAATATGTATGTAAAAAGTTTTTAATTATTACAAATTAAATTTGATAATCATTATTTTTCTCCACTAAATATAAAATATTATATAATCATTCCTCATAAATTGGTTTATATAATATTTATTCAATTATAGAAAATGGAACTTTAAATATATTCTTTTATTGAATGATCTAAATTGACCATCAAGATCATATTTGATATAATGTTAAAATGATGAGCTACTTATGCATAATTATATTAAAGTATATTTTCAGAATGATATTTGGACATATACCCAATTAGTAATATTGATGTATCAAGTCGTAGATAAGAAAATCTGACGTGTAACTGGATAAATAGTTAAATATAAAATAAAATTTGAATTTTGATATTGAATAAATACTATTGAATTAATTCATTCAATAATTTGAAATAATTTACAACCGTGGCTTTGAAAAGATAATTCTATGTAAGTTTTCGAAAAATAATTCCACGATCTGATTCGTCAGCCAAACGTGCAAAAATCAACTTAGAATAAAAAACCCACTAGATGTTGTGTGGGATATCCGGGCAAGTAAAGGGTTAATGCATCGATTCAATAATTAACACATCTTTAGTCTTGCTGTTTGATTCATTTATTTTACTTTATTTCCAATAGGAATTATTAACCTTGGTTAAATTACAAATGATCTTTATATTTCTTGATAATCTTATGGTGTTGATATATCTGTTCATTGGATAAATAGAGGATAATCAATTTCTTATTCTCTGCATGTCACTGGTGAGATTATGATTTACTGTAACAAGAAGTAGGTTATAATCTATTGAATATTATCACTGAGAGGTTATCATGATTGTAGTGCTCTGATCGAACACTGGAATGCCATTGTGTTTATCTTAACACGTGTGTAGTTGCCTTTAAATATCGGTCGTAAGAGAGCCGAGATGGAGGTTATGCGAAGCTGT